CCCCCCCCCATAAAACACGGCTCTCACCTCGGACAGGAACGTCTGCGCGGATTTCTGGGCTCCCACGTGCAGGAGGTACTCATAGACGTACAGCGCCAACCTGCAGGGCGGGACGGGGCGGCGCGGTGACACCGGGACGGCGGCGGGGCGGTGCGGGGACACCGCGACGGGAACGGCGCTGCCGGCGGACGCGGCCACGTGCGCGGCTCGGCCCGGTGAGCGCTGCCAGCCCCGCAGCCGGCTGACACCGCACCGGGACCGGCCGCCCGCGGGTGACACGGCGCTGCGGGGCGGAACCGCGTTCGGAGCGTCGCCGCCCGCGTGACACCGCGACCCCGAGGGGGGACGACGCGGGGACACCCGCGAGAACCGCGCGGGGACACCGGAGGGACGCCGCGCTCAGCGGCTCCGGGGATCCGTCGGGGGTCGCGCAGCCCCGCAGCCCCGCGGCGGAGCGGTGCGGAGCGGTGCCGAGCGCGGTTCTCCCATCCCCGCCGCGCCGCCGCCGGCCCCGATTCCCGCGGCGGAAACCCCCGCGAAAACTTCCGCGCGTCGCTCCGTCCGTCCGTCCGTCCGTTCCTCCCTCTCCCCCCCCCGCCCCGGGCACTCACTTCTCGCGGGCCTGCCCGTCGGACGGCACGCCGCAGCCCTTGCCCTTGCCGTACATCCTGCACGGCCCCGCTGTCACCGGCGGCGCCCCGCCGCCATCCCGGCCCCGCGCTGCGCCTCGGCCCGGCCCGGCCCGGGGGACCTTGAAACCGCCGCGCGGGGCCGGGGGTCCCCGCAACGCCGCCGCCGCCGCTCCCTCCCCCCGCGCGCGCGGCTGTTCCAGCAACGCCGCCCCCCCCACCCCTCCGTCCCGGCGCTGCTCCTCCTCCGCCCGCGCGGCCGCTCTTAAAAGGGCGATGGCGGAAGGTTAAGGGAGGGGGGGTCCACAAGGGGTGGTGGGCGTGAAGTGACGCGGAGACGCGGATGGGAGGGGGGGAAGCGATCGGTCGCGTACGCGCGTGGGTGAAGAACGAGATACGAAGGGGGGGCGGGAGGGAGGTGGGCACGAAGGGGTGCAGAAGGACACGGACACGAGGGAGAGGACACAGAGCGACAGGAAAGGGTGGACGCGCGTGGTGACGGACACGAGGCAGGGAAGACACGCGGGGGGGCACGGCCACGAAGGGACGGACGCTGAGAGACGGATGGAGAAGGGCGGGCAGGGAGGGAAGGGCGGGGGGAGAGCAGGGAAGGACGCGGCACGGCACGGCGGGGAGCTCGGAACAGCCGCGAGCGCGACACGCGTGTTTGCGGTGGGCACGCGGGGGGGCCGCGTGTGCACGAGGCCGTGCGTTCGGGCGGCTGCGTGCGCGGCGCTTCCCCCGTCGGCCTGCAGGTGTCAGCCGTGCCCGAGCGCTGAGCCGAGACCCCCGCGGACGCGCGTGGCGGTGGGGCTTTGCGGGGCCGCCCGCAGCCCGGCGGCGCTGCCATGAGCGCCGTTCTGTCCTCTCTACCACCGCGGCTCTGATCCCAGCTCTGATCCCAACCCGGGACCGCGGGGGATTCCCGGTGCGACCTGAGCTGAGGACCCCATTGCAGCCCCCGTTTCGGACCCCGTGGGCTCGGTGTCACTGTGTCGCACGGCCCGGCCCACGCTGTGACATCTCACCCAGACTAAAGGTCCTCGTCCCCCCGCGCTCCACCATGGAGGCACGTGAGGCCGTGCAGTGGTGGTGGGCGCTCACCTGGGACCCCCGCCCCAACCCCTGGCGCTGGCACCACCCGGCACCGTGCCCACCCCATTCACTGTGCCCCCCATTCACTGTGCCCCCCATGCCCAACCCCACATGCCCTCCTGCCCCCTCCCCATACAGTCCAGAACCCCGGCACAGGGGCATTGCGGTGCCCGCGCACCCCAGATGGAAGGAACATTTGCATGTGGATGAGCAGCAGCAGTGACCCCCCCAGGCCCGGTTACGCCCCACGCAGTGACACGGACCCACAGGGACCGCCCGTTCCTCTTTCTGAGCACAGCAGCCGGCTGCAGGCGAGTCGGGGTGCTGGGTTGGGTGGGGGGCAAACTCAGCCACGGGGACCCCGGCCACGAAAGAAGGGGCTGTGGGCTCTGTTCCTCTGACCCCCTCTTTCCTCCCAGGCGGAGCCATGGGGCGCCCCATAGCGATGCTGCTGCTCCTGATGCTGCTTCCCCACGGCATCGGGGCAACCACCTCGCAGCCCTCGCTGCCGCCGTGCCGCTGCGATGCGGTGGGCAAAGCGCCGGACTCGTGCTCCGGTGCCGATTGCCTCTGTGCTGCGCCCCAAGGCCCCGCCAACGCCTCCGATTTCCACGCACGGGAATGTCGGGACGCCGTGGGGATGGTGGATGCGGCCGCGGGCGGCGGCGTGGCGGCGGTGGCGGTGGGGGTGGCGGTGGGGCTGGGGGCGGTAGGGGTGGCGCTGGGGGTGGTGGTGTGGCGGTGTCGGAGGACGGCGGGCGCTGCGGGGTGGGGGAAGCGGGAGCCCCCTGCAGCCCATGGGCAGCCCCGCTATGTCAGCCGTGAGGCAGAGAGCAGCTCTGCTGCCGTGGGGGTGCGCCTGGCTCCCGACTACGAGAACGTCTTCGTCGGCTCCTACGCGGCCCCTGGCGCAGCCCCGGTGCAGGATGGAGAGCATGGATGGCAGCAGGAGGGGTACAGGTGAGTCTGCGGAGAGGGGGGGCTGTGGGGGTACGTGGGACCCTCCTGATGGGCTGCATTGGGCCGTCCTGTCCCACTTCATCCCACCCCACTCCACCCCATCCCATCCCATCCCATCCATCCCATCCCATCCCATCCCATCCCACGTCAGCCATTCATCCCACTCCAGCTCATCCTCATCTCCATCCCATCCGCAGTCCGTCCCCATCCCATCTCATCTCAACCCATCCATCCCATCCTACTCCATCTCAACCCAATCTATTGCATCCTCATCCCATCCCACTCAATCCCATCCCCATCCCATTTCAACCCAACCCATCCCACCCCATCCCCATCCCATCCCACCAAACCCAGGGATCAGACACCCGTGGGGCCCTTTCCTCCCCATTCATCCACCCGGGGGTCCGTTCCCATCTCCACGGGGCGCTGCCCCACTGACCCCCTCCCCACAGCCCCCAGGCGCCGCCGGACGATCTCTATTTCCTGGAGAGCGGCGCAGGGGAGCAGCCCATCTACGCCAACACCGGGACCCCCGGAGAGGACATCTATGTCAGCCCCGACCCGTGAGGGCAGCGCCCCGGGGGATTCTGCAGCGCTGGGACGGCGGAGGGGATTTTCCTCTTTTTCTTTTTTTTTCTGTTGGTTTTTTTTTTTTTTTGCAACGAGAGCAAAACGGCTGCGCCGCCGTTTCCTGCGCGGGGCGGAGGGAGGAAGCGGCCGCTTCTCCTTGGGGTTTGCGCTGCGAAATGGGGACGGGGCGGCGGGACGCGGCGGTCCCTGCACGTCGCTCCGGAGCTCCGCGTGACGCCGGGACCGACGGCCCCAAATGCTGCCCTCTGTGAAATCCGACGGCCTGGGACAAAAAATGCCGTTTTTGGACGCTGCTGGCAGTGTGTGGCTGCGAGGTGGGTGGTGACATGGGGGCACCCCGTGTCCCAGCCTCGCACGGGTCCTTGTGATTCTCCACGGTGACATTAAATGTTGGGCTGTCCTCAGTGACCGCAGGACTCACGGTCTGCTGGAACCCCCCAGGGGCTGTGTGGGGTGCTGGGGGTCCCGTTCCCAGAGCAGAGGTGCCAACAATACAGGTCCCACACTGGCAGGTTCCTATTTCCCAGTCCCCTAAGGCCACGTCCCCTTCATGGTGACCCCAGTCCCACATCCATTGAGCTGTGGTCCCCAGAGCCCATAACCCCAGGCTGGAACTCCTCCTGTCCCCCATCCCCATGTCCCCATGTTCCATATCTCAATGTCCCCATGTTCCCACATGTCCCTCTTCCCCCATGGGTGCCACCTCCAAGTCCCCATGTCCCAGTATCTCCATGTCCCACATCCCCATGTCCCTGTGTGTCTGCACCTCACATCCCCATCCCCATCCCATGTCCCCCACCCCATATTCTCATGTCACAGCCTCATGTCTCATGTCCCCATTCCCCTGTCCCCCATGTCCCATATCCCTATGTCTCATGTCCCCATGTTCCCCCATCCTATGTCTCACGCCCCCCCTTCCCCATATCTCATGTCCTCATGTCCCCGTCCCCCTGCCCCCATCCCCTGGCTGTGGGTACCAGTAAATGGGTGCCACATCCCCGATGCGGTCAGGGCTTCCCAGCGCCCGCCCCAAGGCCACAGCGGGGGCAAAGTGCTGCTGGAGCGCAGCCCACACATGACTCACCCATGGGTGACGGATTGGGGGCTGGGGGGGACGTGGCCGCGTGGGGCCGAGCTGCTGGCGCCGTGTTCCCATCACTTTATTCATTTACATCGCGATTGGATTCATAGAAATATATAAATATACCCCCCCAAAAAAATAGAATCCCAACAAAGGCGTACAGTGCAATAAATAACGAGCAATAAATAAAGGACTGTATAAAAAAGGCTCGTGAGGAGAGGAGCCGGGGGGGGGGGGGGCTCCTCCTGCTGAACCAATGCTTTAAATAAGGGGAGAGGGGAATAAGTTATGGCGTGGAGTGATGGCAGTGGGGTCTGCGGCCCTGGGGTCGGTGCCACCAGGATGGGGTGGGGGCCCTGCAGCAGGAGGTCAGACATCAGCATCGGGAGGCGAGGGGTCCCTGCAGGTGGAGGTGGTGGGTCCATATAGACAGAGATGACGAGTTCCTACATCCAGAGGGGATGGAGCCCTGCAACAGAGCTGCCAGTCCCTGTTTGCAGTGATGGATTCCTTTAGACGAAGGTGAGGGATTCCTGTGTCTGGAGGCGACGGATCCCCAGACCCAGAGCTGATGGATTCCCATATCCAGACGTAACAGAACCCTTTGGTGGGGGTGATGGAACCCGACGTCCACATCTGGCAGATCCCTACACCCAGCAGCGCTGCTCCCTGCGCCCAGGGGTGACAGACAGGTCCCTATAGATGGAGGTGGGGACCCCTCCACCCAGCGGTGCCCTCAGGCGCAGTGACAGCGGGTGACCAACATATCCTCGAAGACAGAGCTGACCAACCTGCCCTCTCCATCGTAGTGCATCAGCACCATGGGGTCGTAGGCAGCCGGCACACAGCAGGGCGCCGGGGCAGCGCGGCTCAGGGCGTGCACGCGGGCCTGGATCTGCGCATGCATGCTGGCGGCGCGGTAGTTGTGCGGGCAGGAGCCCTGGCAGAAGCGCATGTCGTAGCTGCGCGGCGCCAGCACCCAGTCGTCCCACCCGATCTCCTGGAAGGACACCTTCAGCACCCGCCGGCAGCATTTCCCCTCGCTCTTCCCGCACTCCTCCTCCAGCCCCCGCCGTCTCCTCGCTCCCCGCCCCTCCCCGTCCCACGTTTCCACTTCCAGAACCGCGTTCCCGGTTCCGGTGCCGTCCCACGGAGCCGACGCGTCGGAGCTGAAGGTCAACTCCAAGCGCAGCGCGGCGCTGCTCCCGGCGGCCCAGTGCCGGATGAGTGATGTCACGTCCAGGTGGAGGGAGCGGGGGTCCAAATCCCGGCCTTGCAGCAGACGCGGGGCCCCGCCGGACCCCCCGGGGGTGTAAATGCTGACCCGGAGCGGTGCTGAGTGCGGGGGGAGCGGCAGCCGTGCCCGCAGCACCTGCGGCCTCTGGCGGAGAGCTCCGGTGCGCGGCACCAGCAGGAGGTAACGGTACGGCCCGGGGGGGTCCCGGCGTCCGCGGGGGTCCCGGTGACCTTCGGAGTCTCCCTGCCCGTGGGAGTGCTGGTCGCCGTCGGGATCCGGCTCTCCGTGGGGGTCCCGGTGTCCTCTGGGTGGTTCCTGCCCCCCTTGGGGGTCCCGCTCTCCCCGGGGGGGGTCCGGCAGGCGCCGCACTGTGGGATGAGAGGACGGCCGGTGTCACAGAGACCCCACAGCGCGCCATGGGATTCCTCCCTGCCCACCCCCCGCCTCCCGCGGGATGAAGGCACCGGAGCTCCAACCCCGTCCCGCGCAGTGGTGCCTCCCAACCCCCGGTCCGGACGGTTCCCCGCATCCCCCCCGCTGTGCCGTTATCAGGGATCGGTGCTTTTAAATGGAAAATTGCAACTCCTCCTCCTCTGAAGGCAACGTTGGGAGCGGCGGGAGGAGGAGAGGAGAGGAGGAGGAGGAAGAGGAGAGGAGGAAGGTGACAGCCGTGGATTCATGTCCGGTCATGTCCCAGCACGTGTCGGGGCAGGGTGTGGGTTGGGGCACGGTTTGGAGATGCAGTGGGATGTGGCTTGGGGACATGGTGGGACATGTTTTGGGGACACCGTTTGGGGACCGGCGGGATGCGGGTTGGGGTGTAGTGGGACACGGCTGGGGGACGCGGCGGGATGAAGTTTGGGGACGCGGTTTGAAAACACACAGGATGCGGCTGGGGGCGCAGCTGGGGGTCGCGGTCCGGGGACACGACGGGAGCGCAGCGTCCACTTACGGATGGCGGTCAGGCGGTGCCAACGCGTTGCGGCCGCCGCTCCGTCGCGCTCCTCCCGTTCCCGGCTGCGGTTCCCTCGCAGTTCGGCCACGCGCCGCTCGTACAGCCGCCGCGCTCGGCTGATGATCTCCGGGTCCGGAGCGTGCGGCACGGGGGGGGGGGCCGGCCATGCCCAAGCGCCGCAGGATGCCGTGTTTGATGGCTTCCAGCTGCTGCCCGTCCTCGTCCCACGCGCGGGGCCGAGGCTGCGCGCCGCCCGCCAGCAGCAGGAGCTGCAGGCAGGTGACGGCGACGGCCCCCACGTCCCGCAGCATCGCGCAGACGGCGGAGGAGGAGGGGGGAGCGGGCGGGGAGTTGCAAAACCTCTTGCGCAAAGGCCCCGCGTGCGGCTCTTATCGATGCCGCGAGGAGAATGAATGGAGCGGAGCAGCCCCGGGTTTATATAAGCGGGACTTTGCCCGCCCTCCTCCCCCCCAATCCCAACCCCCCCCCCCCCCCCGCCCCGGTCCCACGGATGAAACTGCGGGCTCTGCGCGGCGATGGAACGAGGAACGACCGCCGTTTCGGGCGGACGCTTCGCGGCGCCTCCGGGGGGGAGATGCTGAGCGGACCGAGGGGCGGCGGCGGGCGGAGGTCTCGTGGGCGGCTCGTGGAGCTGAGCGGGGATGGGGATGGGGATGTGCGTGCCAGCAGCGCGCCTCGCCTGCCTGCTCTCCCCGTCCCCTCCTCGTCCCCCCCTTCCGCAGCGAGAAGCTCGACGGGTGCCAACACGAGCGGGCGGAGCGGATCGGAGCCGCGATTAAAGAGCGGCACTCCCCAAACGGAGCTCCGGCTGATGACACCGCAGCCCGGCTTTGCCGCACGTCGCTGCCCCGGTCCGGTTCTCACTGAAGTAACCGCGCTCGGGGTTTGCATCATTCCTAAGACGGTGCCGGGCGCGGATGGCTCCGATCCAGAGGCGCTGATGCGGAGCCGCGTGGCAACGGGAAGAGCTCGTGGAGGAGAACCGACGGGGGGTCCCACGGCTGGGCTCCGTCGGAGCTTCTTCCACCAGTAAGAGGACGGACCAAACCGGGAGAGGTCGATGAGGGCAGAGCCGGCAGTCGCCCAGCCCGGAGGTGGACGGGGGCTCCAGGCAACGGGGCTGGGACCGACCGCCCCACTGCCCCACACCGCGGGCAGAAGGGATGTGAGCCCCGTGTGGGGACGGTGTGGGGTGGCCTCTGGTTGGGGCACACGAGGTGACACAGCTGCATTCCGCGCTGCTGAGCTCACAGCTCAGCTGCTCCGTGGCGTTGCCACCAGCCCATGATTTATGCTTGTCTCGGCAGCTGGGCGCAAGCATTATTTCTGCCTTTTTCACCCAGATTCTTGACGTTTCCTGAGGCAAAGAAAGGAGAACAAGATTTTCACCCGTGGCCACGTGAAAGCATTGGCTCATCAGCACGAGCGGCTGCATGCGGGGGGTTGGCACAGCGTGAGTGCTGTGCTGCTCCTGGAGGGGGGGGGAGGGACGGAGGGAGGGGTGGGTTGATGAGTAATGGGTGAATGGATGGATGGACGGACGGACGGACGGATGGATGGATGGACAGATGGATGGATGGATGGGTGGGTGGATGGGTGGATGGATGGATGGATGGATGGATGGATGGATGGATGGATGGATGGATGGGTGGATGGATGGATGGATGGGTGGATGGACAGATGGATGGATGGACAGATGGATGGATGGACAGATGAGTGGACAGATGGATGGATGGATGGATGGATGGATGGATGGATGGATGGATGGATGGATGGGTGGATGGACGGACAGGTGGATGAATGGAACCCCTCAGTTGCCTTTGTGCTGCCTTTCCCTGCCCTCAGCTTCTGCCTGCCACACTTTTGGTTCCTCTGGGCCATTTCCTGAGGCAGCACTGCTGCCAGAGCCAACTTCCCTCGAGTGCTGCATCCCACGCACAGCTCAGCGTGCCACCATTGGGCTCTGCACGGCCACATCCCCATCCCCACAGCAGGGACGGGCATGCAGCAGCTTTGTGGGGTGAGCAGCAGCCGTACGGAGCTGCCGAGGGCACGGGGCTGCCACGGGGCAGCTCAGCTCCCAGCAGGATGGCAACGTGCAATGCAGGATCTGAGCTGTGCAGGTGGCTGGGGAAGCTCCCATCCCGTCGGCCATCGCGGCACCCGTCCATCGAGCGCGACGCAGTGAGTTCTGACCCTCACAGCTCTGCTCTGGCAATGCGTTTTTGGGGCGGTGGGCGCTCCGTGTGCTGCCATCCCCTCCACGTGTGCTGCACTGAGGGTCGCGTGGAGCATCAGAGCTTTTGCAAAGCCGGATGTTTTCCTCCCAGAGGCGCCAGCGGTGAAGCCGGAAATTTTACAACCAGGCAGCAGCGATAAAATTTGTGCTTTCCGAGCAGCATTTGCGGATGCTGAATGATCTGTTGGGAAATTCTCCGGCGTGTCCTCGCCAGCCTGCACGATCAGAGCACGATCAGAGCATCCCCCCGCCCCCATCAGCACTGCGCTGCCGGAGGTCGCACGGAGGAATTTCCTGCCTTTATCATGGGCGAAGCGCAGCCCGGAGCCCAGGGCACCGCGGAGCACGGGAAGGTGTCACTCGGCTCCCCCTGCAGATCTCTGGCAGGATGAGGTCCAGCACCGTGCTGCCATGGGAACCCATCGCATCCACCTGCAGCTCTGCGCAGCGCAGCGACCCAACAGCAGGAGGAAGGGGAGGGGAACGGGGCAGCACCACTTCCCCAGCGCTGCCCGCGGCGCCCCGAGGAGGCTCCCATTTCTCCATGCTCTGCCAGCACCACACGGTGCCCAGAACTGCAGTGACAGTGGGCATTCAAGGTCTGGGCAGCATCACACAGCTTTGCTCTCTCAGAGGAATGGATTTGGGCACGGAGGGCTCAGAAACGACGGCTGCAGCCCAGGGTGCAGCGTCCCGAGTCCTGCCTGTGCCGTCATGGTGAATGTGCACAGCAGAACCCTCCTGACCTTTGGCTATCTGTAAATAGAAGGGCCGGATCAGGTGAGCGCAGGCAGCCTCGGTGCTGCTGCAGCAGGAGTGGGACTGACTGCTCTCCCTTTGTTCTGCTTACGGCATTCACCAAAAATGAGACTTCTGCTCCACTTGGAAGCGACGCTGCGACCTGACAGCACGCAAGGCTCAGCCCACCCCCGACCCCTTCGCCTGTGCAAGGCAGGAAATTGCTCAAACCCTACGGCCAAAAATGGAAATCTCATCCTGGATGGTGCCGTTCACCGCCCAGCAGCGGGGCTCTGGGCAGCAGGACGCCCCTGTCCCCACAGATGGGGCAGCGCGGAGCTCCTCAAAGCCATTCCTGTGCGAGAGCCCCAGTGCACAGCGCTGCCATGGGAAAGCTGGGGGTTCTCGTGGTGTCTGGGCTGGGCAGTGTGAGCAGGGGCCAGTAAGAGCTCCTGTCAGTGGGGTGGGGAGCAGCCAAAAGGAGAAGAAAACAGAGGGAAGCGGCTGCAAGCCCCCACCCCAAACTCCCCCCTGAGTGGGCTCTGGGCAATGAGAAGTGCTTTGAGATTTGGAGCAGCTGGAGAGCGGCCCCAAAACCACTGCGGGGCGGAGGGATGGACCCCACTGACACCCCTGGGGGTGTTGGGCCCCTGGGGGTCCCCAACGCTGTCGGTTCATGGCTGAGCTGGGGAGAGGCGGCAGCTGGCCAACATCCCAACGTCCCACCTCAGCCGGGAGGATGGAGGAACAGAGCGGCTCCTGGAGGGGCGATGCTGGGGGAAGGGTCTGCCCGGAGCTGCTCTGCAATGAGACCCTCCAGCATCGCCCCAAGCCACGGCCAAGGAATGCATGCAGGGTGCGTGGGGCCCAAGAGCAGCAGCTCCCATGCAGGGAGCTCAGATTGCAACACACCGCATGACATCAGCGGCACCTCGTGAGCCAGCTTCAGCCCAGCGTTGCATCAGCACGGCAGGCACGTGAGCACCTGGCCCTGCATCCCCAGGCTGAGCTGTGCGACACGGAGCAGGCAGACTCCCCAAGGCCAGCAGGATTCCCTCCCTGATCCCCTCCTGCCACAAAGCTCGGAGCAGAGGCAGCGTTGGCCGTCGGTGCCCCCGTTGGGCAGTGCATTTTTGGGGCACCGCTGCAGCCCCCCAGCAGCTTCCATCTCAGCGCTTCACCGCCGGAGTCAGGAGCAGAATGGATCCATGCTGGGCTCACAAAGATGAAGCACAGGGCAGTGTTTGCTCCCCCGAATCACAGGCTCACAAGAATGAGCAGCGCAGGTGGATGCTGTGCCTTCCCCTCCATGATGGGATTTTCTGTGGTGCCACGGCACACTGCAGCTCCACGGTTCACATCCTTCCTTCCTGCCCTGCTCCAGCCCCACGTGGGACTTCGTGCCCAGAGCGGAGCTGCAGACAAGCTGCTCCCACCCCCCAAAAGGCACCTCCAGAAATCCAAATCCCATTCAAGAACAGTGCGAGGCAGAGTTAAACTCTTTATTTACTTTGAAACACGGGTTTAAGTTCTCAGTTACAAAGTCCAGTGGAGCAACAGCGAGCAGAGGGAATGCGAGCGGCCCTTCGTGACACAGCCCTTCGTGGCACACAGACTGGTAGGGGTTACAAGGCACTGCAAGAACACACTGTGGAGAACAGAAGCCCCCACAGATTTGAAGCTGTAGCTCCAGGAGTCCTGCGAGCACAGATGGGCAACACCAGAGAGCTCCACTCAGCCCACAGCGACGTCGGCACAACAGGAGGGCGGGGGGCAGAGCAGCACTGGGACACACAGCACCTCAGGACAGACAGAACCCCAAAGGTTCGCTCTCCCCAAGCAATGAGGATCCCCCCCCCTTTCCCTTTGTTCCCAGTGCGTTGCAGGAAACCCCCAGAGCCCAATGCAGTGTGGCTCCTGGAGAGCACAAGGGGTGAAGGAGCTCGGAGCCCCCAACCCCCCAGATGGGCCCTCAGCCCCCAACGCTCCGCTCTGCTCCCCCAGCGCAGGACAAGGCACTCCCTGTTCATCAAAGTAAACATTTGCAATGGAAGAAGCTGGTGCAGTGTGAAACCTGAACGCGTGGTTAAGGAGCACGGAGCTGTGTTTGAGGGCAGCGCGCAGCTTCGTTCCCTAGCGTTAATTCCTGTTGGGGGTTTGCTTCTCTGCTTTGCCTTAAGACAGATGGACAGAGCAGCTCTCGGCTTTCTGCTCGCTCAATGAACTGCCAGCATCCTCAGCTTTGTTGGAGGTCTGGCCAAACACCACCGGGGCCACGTCAGGCACCAACCAGGCACGGACACAACCTGTAAGTGCACTTATGCCACAGAGCACCGGGGCTGCTGCTGCAAAGAGCCCCCTGCTGCCCACCGGCACCCGCTTCAAGCAGCCCAATTCAGAGCCACGGGACGCAGCAGCACAGCACCCTGTGCTGGAACTGAGGCACTGGAAGGTTCAGCATTGCCTGCGAGGTGCTGAGACTCCGAAAGCGACACCTGAGCGCGCTGCTGAGGTCAGTAAACATGAAGGAAAGCGGCTCCCCCCTGCAGACCCCCCTCTGCTCCTGCATGGAGACGGTGCTCGGTTTGAATCCGCTCTGGGCTCTTCTCACAGCTCTCAGCCTCCACCCTCAGCCCCACACCACAACCACGGAACACCTCCCACCATCCCTCCACACTTCTGTCCCTCCCCGCTGCTGCTGTGCTCGGACACAGTCGGGTTGGGGAGAGCTCCAAATCAGCGAGAACTGCTTCTGCCACGCCTGGGTTTGGCACCGCGGTGACGCAGAGATGCCAGCAGCTTTGGGCTGCGCCCTCAGCCTCCCCACCGAGCATCCTGCAGGTAAAGGAGCTTTGAAGCTCGTATTTCCTTTTTGCTGTTTCGTACAACAGATGATCGCGTGGAGCCCAAAGGCAACACCTCCCCACATCGCAGCCCCCCAGGGACGAAGGAGTTCTCGGGTACCTGGAGCTCCTCAACGCCTTCCGCAGCGTTTAATAACCAAAACCCTGACACCAACGACCCCCCCAGCACCGCAGCCAGCCCCGCTCCCCTCCACCACCACCTCAATACGTGGCACCGGAGCCCACAAGGGAACCCCCCTCATTCTCTCTCCCACACAAAACGCCCTCAGCCCACTTCTCAGCGCACCACCACAGACGATTCTGATCCTGAAGCACCGCCTTCAAACATCACCGACCGCAGGCGCCGCCGCCAGCGCTCAACCCGACCGACCCACGCTCCTTCGTGCGCCCACCTGCAGCCAGCAGTGGGGCTCCATCAGTGCAAACCAGCAAATCCCCTCCGCTGATACCTGGCAGACAAAGCAGCGCTCAGCAGCCCCGCATCGCTTCTGAACCACCAACAGCCCGAGCTGCACAGACCCCCAGGAGCCACCGCCATCACCGACGGCAGAGAAGCGCTCAGAATCAGTTCATCCAACAACAACAACAACGAAAAAGCTTTAAAAACAAAGCAAAAGCGTTTAATTTAGGTCAGATTAAACAAACTCAGCTCAGCGCCATCTTTAAAAGGTTTCGCTACCCGAAACGCCGCTACCGCCCCGACACCCTCTGAGGACTAACCAGCCACAAAATAATCAGGAAACCCAGAAGATTATACAATAAATTACGTTTCTAAGGGACTGCCAGCACAGGAGCTCTGCCACAAAGACCCAACACAGCATCTCCCCTCTCATAGCCCAGCAGCTACGACAGACCAACAGCTCCTCCCAAGCGCAGCGGAGCCGCACGAAGAGCTCAACTATTTGGGAGCTGCCCCCAGCCACAGATACTTAAACTAAATATTAAATAGAATAAATTACACATCTGAAAGCCTGCCACGACCTGACGGGCACTGCGTGGTGTCCCAGTGCCAAGGACAGCATTGACTTGGAAGGCAAAGTGGGGCAGGACAGCGTTCCCCCCGCGCACCCAAGGCAGGTCGGATGGGGCCCTGGGCAGCCTGGCACCGTGTGAAAGGTGGAGGCTGGCAGCCCTGCGTGCAGCAGGGGGTTGGAGCTTCACGATCCTTCCAACCCAAAGCATTCTATGATTCCCTGCACCCAGTGCCTCTGCTGTGGGACCCGACGCCCATCCTCACTGCGGCAGAACCATTCATCACCAGGAAAACAGAAGGAACGATGCTCCAAACCTTGCACAAAGATTATTCTGTACGTGGTTTTACATGCAAACGGCCAGCAGCTGCGTGTGGGCTCCCAGAGCAGCTCTGAGATGCGAGGTGCCCTTTGGCAGCTCTCCCTGGCAGCCACGTGGCAGCGCCAGCGATGGGCACCGAAGTTAAACATTACTCCCCACCCAACCTTCAACGAGAACAAAAGTTCACAGCGAAGGAAGTTATAAATTACTCAGCCTTCGCCTTAAAAATAACAGCCAGCACCAAGAGATCGCGATAAAGATCTCCTGCGGAGAAAGTGGCCTTTAGCAGAGCTCCTCCGCAGCGAGCCGGGAGCTGAGCGCAGCGTGGGGCCGGGAGGGCAGCCCTGAGCCAGCACTGAGGACGCCTGGAAGGACTTGGTGTGAGCTCAGATCGCTCCATGTACAAACAGCCATCTGAGCCGCGACCCAACACGCAGCCTTTCCACCTGCAGCCGCAGCAGCAAGGCCCCCGTGGAGAAGGCAGCCACCTTCTCCGTTCAAAAGCAGTTTCTGAGGCCCCTCGTCCCCAGCAAGCAGTTTTGTCGTTTTCTCACGCCGTCCCAACTAATTTCAGTTGCACTTTCGCATTAGGACCTACAATTTGGGCCAACGAGGAGAAACAAAATGAGACAGAAGGAAAGCAAACCTTCCAACTCAACAAGCAGTCGTTAGAAGACGGGGTTATCGATTCCCTGCACCCAAACACTGAGCCTGGCCAAGGAGCTTCCCTTCTGTGCAGGCTGGCAGCACTCAGCAGCCATCGCTTGGCCAGAGATGAGCTGTGGGGAAAGCATGGCACGCGTGCTCCAGGAATGAGCAGCTGCAGGTGTTGTGTTAGAGAAGGGATCTCGATTTCTTCATTGAAATACGCACGTTTGACCAAAAAAAAAGGAGAAAAAAGAAAAAAAACAAAGTCAATTTCTGGACGTGGGGTTTCCATTTTTGAAGTCTCCAATCCTCGCTCCGTACGTCTCGCACACAGCGTTCCTCCCACACCTCAGCGGCAGGGGGGGAAGTTTAGGAAGTGCAACAGCAGGACGGCTCCCGCCTGCTTTCAGTGTTCGTGCTGACAATTGATTTTGTCTTCAGAATGCTCCAAAACGTCGAGCATCTCCTCGATGATGGCCTGCAGCGCCCGGCCCAGCTGCTCCGCGCTGTACGGCTTCCCCAGCGGAGGCACATGAACAAAAGCCGACCTCCCGCAGCTCTGGTATAAGGAAGTGTAGTAAGTGAAGTCACACAGGTACCTGAAACATAAAAACAGAGCTGATTTAGCAACATGTGACAAATAAAGCGTGCAAACTGCAGGACACAGCGAGCCGTGTTATCGCTCGGCGTTGCATCAACATCCTGCAATAAAAAGCGCAATGCAAGTCAGGCTGAAGCAGCGGCACGCTCACAGCACCTAAACTAGGACAAAACACAAAGGCTGCGTGCTTTCCCAGCACCAGCGTGCGACCACGGGACAGAGCAGTGCCAGCACTGAGTGCAGCTGAGCACACAGTGAGCAGGCACTGCAGGCACAGCACGCACTGAGAGACAGCAGGCACTGCAAGCACAGCAGGCACTGCACAGACAACAAGCACTGCAGGCACTGCAGGCACTGCACAGACAGCAGGCACTGCAGGCACAGCAGGCACAGCAGGCACTGCACAGACAGCAGGCACTGCAGGCACAGCAGGCACAGCAGGCACAGCACAGACAGCAGGCACTGCAGGCACAGCACAGACAGCAGGCACAGCAGGCACTGCAGGCACAGCAGGCACTGCACAGACAGCAGGCACTGCAGGCACAGCAGGCACTGCAGCATGTACCTGCTTCCCGCAGATCACTTCGCCCCATACCTGCCAGCATCCTTAGAGATGGTGACGGTGACATCCAGCCCCAGTGCTGAGACCCTCCTGCAAACCACGTCCATGTCAATGATGGAGTCGATGCACTCTGGGCCGCCTTCGACGCAGCACTGAGAGCCTGGGCAGAAACGGCAGTTGTCTAAGCCCTTATAACCCACATTATGGCCACACTTCTCCAGAGTGACAGTGGTAGCCATACCCGACACACCTACATGCACCACCAACTGCGAGAGAAAAGAAACACGTTACATCAACCAGCAGCCTGCAGTGCACTGAGCACCAGCAGAGCCTCGGCCTGAGCCCCTGCACGGCCAGCACACAGCCAGCCACTGTAGCAACCGACGGCACGAAACCATTCTCGTTTTGTCCCCAACCCTCAGCTCTAATTAATTACAGCACAGAGCGGAGCTGCCCTGGCAGCCCTGCGTGCTGAGCTCCCGTTAACTGCAGCACTGCACTCTGAGCCACAAAACGCTGCAAATCCAGGTGTTTGGAAAGAGCAAAGGATGCAGCAGAGGACGCAGCACCGAACGCAGCTGGCAGCACAGAGCTGCACGGTGCTCACTGCACACGCGTCGGCTCCATCTCTTCTCTTCACTCACTCACTTGTGGACTGTGCTTTTTCCACAGTGCAGGGATGAGTCTCTGCACTGTCTGATATTCCACCGGGACTTCATAGACATGCAGATCCACGCCATCTCGCAGCCCGAGCTTCTCCAGCTCCTAGGAACACGTGGGAAGGGAGGAACAGAGCAGGGTGGTCAGGTACAGGGTGAGCAGTGTGAACATGCACTGCTGTGAGCACAGTGCAGAACATGCAGGACCTGCACAGCTTCCCCCAGAGCCACGGCACAGCAGTGACAGCACTCCTGCTGGTTTCATCTCACAGAAGAGTGGGGTCCCATGGAAGGAGAGGCTGAAGGACAGAGCTGTAAGGGCCTCAGGGCAGCTCCCCGCCTGCGCTCACACGGTTTGTTCTGCTCAGGCAGCGCAGGGCTGAGCAATTTGACAGCACTGAACTGATGGGAGCTACACCAGCAACTCCCACGCTAAAAAAAAATACATGAAAATAATAAGGAAAAGGGTTGGCTTCATTATTTGCAGAAGTGACTCCTATCCAGTTCTCGGAAGAAGCAGACGGAGCAGCAGTGAGAGCAGCCCCAGCTGCTACCTGCATGAGAGCAGCAGCAGCCATCAGTCTCCCCTCCTGCTCCAAGGATTGGGCAGGCGAGCAGCAAAGGCTCCCTGCATTGACTCCTGCGTGACAACCAGTGATGCTAAGTCACATTTCACCACATCTTTGCACAAATCCACCTTCCAAACGCTGGCTGCTTTACCCAGCACCTTAACGAAGTCACTTGTTCACACATTACAGCACTCACACACAAGGCAGCTTCTTTAGGAAGAGCTCTGCAGCGTCACTTGTAGGAATTCATCACTGCTCCTCCACTGAGCTCCCGAATCCCAGCGCTCTGCACCGCTCACAGCTCCCTCTCACAGCCCTCCACTCTCTAATAAAGATGTACTCTGGCCCCCAGACAACTCATTATCCACTGCCTTGTATACCTGACAAACACAGAAAAACGAACACGTCTGACCCATTCCCTGACCCCTGGACAATGGGCTTCTTTGTGAGCCCTTAATATCCCTATCAGGTCTGTCTAGACACCCTGACAGCCATTGTGCTGCTCCCTGACCTCTCCACTGAGCCCCGGCACAGCCAGACGCGCTCTGCTGGGATGGGATGGGGATGGTGGGACAGGATGGTGGGATGGGGATGGTGGGATGGGGATGGTGGTTCAGGACACACCTGGGCCATGCTGGCACCGCATCCTGCACCACTTCCTGCACAGCTGCTGAGAGCCTCCAACCAAACGTTACAGAGATCAAAGCGTGGCACAGCACAGGTGGGAGGCAGAGCGTTACTGCTGCGAGCTGTGAGAAGTTATCAGCCCCTCTGATCCATTTGGGATCTCTCTCCTGAGCACCCAGCTCTCCAAGCATTTATTTAGCCCTTTTTATTTAACGCCCCTGAAGGTGAGGCATTCTCTGTGTTCACTGTGTGTAAAAAATAACGGAGCTTCAAAACTGAGCAGCGACACCAGGAGTTCACAGAATCGCAGGGCTTCAGTGCAGGAGAAGACACCACAGCTGTGCTCTGTGTCAGAGCCCAAAACAACACCAGGAAAGAAAAGCAGGGAATCTTATCCTGGGGATGCGGGATAATAAAAGATGCAATAAAGCAGAACTGGCTCAGCCCCGGAGCTAGAAAGGATTTAGGAAGATTGTTTAATTGATTTTTCTTCTATTAAAATGCAGATCACACCGTCTGGGGGCTCAGCAACTCAGACGCCTTTGTGTCCACGCTGCTCCATGAGGGCCCCGTCTGAGCCGCACAAAGCCCACCTCAGCGGGCTCAAAGCCGTGCTGTTCCTTTTTGTCTGGGCCCCTCGGGCTGAGACGGGGTGAGGGGAGGGGGATGTGGGCACAGCGCTGCAGGATGGACCGCAGGGAGGTGGGTCCTGCTGCTGCTTTCCCTTCCCAAAGCAGCCCTGAGCAACGCGAGCTGAAGACGCGCTCAGTTGGTTCGGCGTGGGGCTGCTCCTCGTTGCGCATCAACGTCAGCTTTGCTCCTGCAGGAACAGCACAGCACCCGCCTCTCATCCTGCCCCACACACACAGCGCCCTGCTGGGCATCTCTAGCAGAAAACCAGGAAACAAGAGCTGACGTGGCGTGAGGAAGAACCAACCAAACCAACGGCCTCATGGCCGCCCTTCAGTAACACGCCGTCCTCCCCAGCCTTGGCTGAGCAACTCGGGTGCATTCAGCCCCAGAGGCTCTCGGAGCCAAAGGTTTCCTCTCCCCTCACCAGTCAGCACGTTGGACATCTGGACATCGGCTGACTGTAATTGATTAGAGCTTGAGATTTAATTTAAAAGCATTCTGAAGAAGATATTAATCCCCGAGCTCTGAAGGGAAGAGAGAAGTGTTGGGGAGAGAAGCAGATCCAGTTTCCCGGGCAGCTGTACTAAAAGGCACCGTGAATTCCCAACGGCTTTGTCATTAACCACCTCCAGGAGCAACAAATAAGGAAGAATCGGGAGAATGTGACAGTGCTGCCCAAGCTGATGCTTTACAGAACATCACAGAGCGCCCTCAGCCCTGTTCAGCAGGGCGTCCTGATCTGCTCAAGCAGTGCCACTCCATGAGCACTTCAACCGCAGCCCCACGTGCTGAGCCCCATTACAGCTGGGAGGGCTTAAAGGTCACCCTGCTCACCCAGAGCCAGGCTGCAGCGGAGAGAAAAACGGACAAATTCCTTTCTGTTTATTTATTTTGAATTCCCTCTGCTAAGTGGTGGAGAAAGACTGCGGGCTCCGTGCCCTGTTTAACTCCTCTGAAACGCAGGGAGTCAGCCTGGGGGCTCCTTATCTGCCTCTGCTCTATGAACCCAATCTCACCATGTTCTACCAGCATGGGGATCGTGTAGAGGTGGACAAAACATCACCCAGCTGAGTGCCTGGACACGGGGCGAGCCGGCCTCAGTGGACAGAGCAGAATCAGGGCTGAAACGCGTGCAGGCAGGGGACGGTGCTGCTCCAAGGCCGAAGTTACAGCCTTACCTGCACTGCAATCCAGCTGGCGTTGACGGCGTGCTCTCCAAAGGGACCAAACCCTGAAAGAGAAGAAAAGCCCCCGGTGAGCAGCTGAGCCCTGCAGCTTGGACTGCAGCTGCCCTCTGCGCTTCTTGGATTTACGTGCTCTGAAAGAAAACCCACTGCTTGTAACACCCAGTCCCTACTGGAGGTGCATTTTCTCCTTGCTGACCAGGCTAGGAACACTTGTTAGCTACAGAGCAGTGGAGTGATGGCACAGAACGAGGATCGTGATTGGAGCTTCTAACCCTGATGGTAACAGCCCACAGCAGATGCTTCCACAAACAAGTCTGCCTCCAGAACCCCTCTGCTCACACCTTCACCAACATCTCTGCTGCCTTAAGAGGAACCAAACAGAACACTGCTGACCCTCCTACACCGAGCACCAAAGGTTATGACAGCACTATAAAAACACTTAACTCCCCGCATCTGCATTTCCTAATGAGTAACTCAGAGTTAACTAGTAATCCATAACATCTTTTCCTGAGCAAGCACACAAAGGTTACGCATTTATCTGGGCGCAGGGTCAATATGCTTTAATTTAAGATGTCAGAGCTACCCCACGAGCCCAATGCAATCAGGAGGCACACATTTCATCTAAGCTGAAAGGACCGAGAGGGACCACAAATATTACATGACACACTAATGGAAACCTCCCATGTGCTGCCAGCAGAAGGCGAGGGCTGAGGTTACGCCGCACACGACGGCGCCAGGCTTTGTACAGCATGGGCTCAGCGCCGGCCATCTCAACCGAAGCCTCCAAGTTGAACCACAGTCAGTATCTCCCCAGAATAAATCTCCTGGAGGTTCCCACGAGATCCAAATGCAGACGTTGTTTCCCCATAGCGATGAGAGACACCAAACACGCCTCTCGTTGGGACGCCTTCTCTACAAAGCACACCGGAGGGCTGCAGCTCTCCAGGTGCCCCCAGAGTAACCAAAACCTCTCGTTCTGAGCCCAGCTGAGCCGGCACAAAGCCCCTCTCACTCATCTCCGCACCGATTCCTTTCACGGCAGATGAGCAACTTTCTCTGCAGCACCAAACTGGCCGCAGCCATCCCACATCCACCACGGGGCCCTGCAGGCGCACGGCACTGAGCCCTCCGTGCAGACCTGTACGGGATTATCTCCTTACGGAGTTCTAAAAGAGAAACGGCACAGGAATGAGGCTTGCCCTCAGCGTGACACGCACAGCAATGAATGGGAACTCAGCGTGACATCGGCCATGTGCTATCACGGGCAGATCCAGCGAAATAAGCTCTGAATTTTAGAAGCAGTTCCCCCCCCCGGTGCAGAAGACGGGAAACAAAAGTACTGCGGGGATCGGGGGGACATCACGGCTGACGGGTTGTGTCTGCTCACCGCTCAGCGCAGCCCCCGGGCTGGGAACGCTGCGCTGTGACACGCGGGGACCGCGCTGGCCGTGGGGCCGCTGCCCTCGGGACACCGAATGGGTTCGTGGCACGGGGATGGAGGCGGTACGGCGTCCCCAGGCACCAAACCCCCTCCGTTCTCCCGCAGCTCCCCGAACCTCCCCAGGGCGAACCGGCGCCGGTCCCCGCTGCAGCCCATCGCAAAGGAGAAGCAGCAGCATCGCCCCCCCCCCCCCCCCCCAGGGCAGCCCGCACCCCTCGGCAGCACCTCGTGCCCCGGGCAGCTCCTGCCAGCACCTCCCCAGCCCCGCACCCCCAGCGGGACCCCAGGGTTCACCTCACACCCCCCCGACCTCCCCCGTGCCCCTCACCGCCCCCCTCCCCAATCCCGCAGTGCAGCCCCCAGCGCCCGCCACCGCCCCCCGCTTACATAAGGGAAGCGGAGCCCACCTGGCCGCCCCCTCCCCGCTCTCCCGCCCCGGTCCCGCCGCCCGTACCCGTCACCACCACCGCCCGCCGCGGTTTCTCCATCTCCGCTCCCACCCTGCCCGCGGCCGCACCGCACTGAGCGAGCGGCTCCGCACGGTCATAGAGCGCGCTCCGCCCCGACGCCCAGAGCGGCGCCGCGCGGCTATAGAGTGCGCGCCGCCCCGACGCCCAGAGCGGCCCCGCGCGGCCATAGAGTGCGCGCCGCCTCGCTGCCTAGAGCGGCTCGTGAGCGCCGCTTCCGCCGCCGGGAGAAAAGCGCGAGGCCGAGGGTAGCGGCCAACCAGGCCGCCTCGACTCTGGGTGCCCCCGAGCTCCTGGGGCGGCAGCGGAGGTGGAGCGGTCCGCAAGGGGCTGAGCCCAGAGCCGCCTCATGGGCTTATCGCGAAGCGCGGGCTCGAGCTAGTTAAACCCGTACAGAGCGCTACGGTGGTTTCACGCCCAGCTTTCCCAGTCCTGCTGGGCTCGTGCTGGTGGAGTCCTGAGAGGAACGGAACGGAACAAAACGGGCCCGCGGGGCCAACTGGGAGCGCCGCCGCTTCCCGCCCCGCTTTTCAATTTACGGCACTGTCGTGACTCAGGGGACCGGCGGCCCCGGCGATGCTTTACGGCAGAGGTCGGGTCCTGCGCGTTGATTGGCTCCGCGGTGGCCGCGCTGCGCTCTGATTGGCCCCGCGCGGAGCCGGGGGCGGTTTGAGCGGCAGTGCCGGGCGCGGCGGCGGCTCCGCGGTTCCGGCACGATGGTGAGTGCGGGCCTGGGCCGGGCGGCGGGCGGCGGGCCTGGGAATCCCCGCCGCTCTGGGGAGTCTCTGTGGAAATACAGGCGGTCCCCGCGCCCCGGTTCCTGAGGCCTCTCTCTCTTTCCCCCGCAGCTGCCCCTGTCGTTGCTGAAGACGGCGCAGAACCACCCCATGGTGAGTCCCGGCCCTCCCGTCCCACTCCCGTTGTGGCCGCGGGCTCGGCGCTATCCTGCCGGGCCCGGTGTCCACGTGGTGACCCCCGCTTCTTTCAGCTGGTGGAGCTGAAGAACGGAGAGACGTACAACGGGCACCTGGTGAGCTGTGACAACTGGATGAACATCAACCTGCGGGAGGTCATCTGCACCTCACGGGTAAGGAGCGGCGCGGCTGCTCGGTGCTGGGACCCCCGTTGTGCCCGGAGACCCCCCATGCTGGCAGCCCCTCACCTCCAGCCCTGCAGCTGAGTGGGGCTCGCAGAGATCCTCGCTCCTCTGCGTTGCTTTTGCCCCGAGTGTGAATGTAACGCAGCTATTTGTGAGCTGTAAGAAACAAATGAGCCCAATGGCGGGGCAGGGTGAGAGCGCTCGGTGTGGAGGGCTGGTGGCAGGTCCTGTTCTGGTGCTGAGCTGCATTCTCGGTGCCCGCTCCATGCAGTCCCATCAAGCACAGCGCTGGCTTTTGTCAGCGCCTGCCTCTCGCCCTCTAACTCCACTTCAAAAATAATCAGGGCCTCTTGTTTACCCGGGTTGTGCCTCGTCTGGTACTTTTGCCCATGGCCAAAGGTGCTCCAGAAGATTGGGATCTGTGCTTTGAGTTCTGACCTCAGCCAGAAGTGTCTGGTCTTGTCCCTGCCAGCCTGTGCCTGGCCACGTTCCCGCTGCTGTCTGTGTCTGAGAACACCAGAGGTCTGTGGGAGAGGCTGTCAGGGAAACCCTTCTTCTCCGGAAAACCCTTCTGCAGCCTTTCGTGCCTGTTGGACCCACGGCAGGAAGGTATTGGCCAATACTGCTGGGGCATGGAGACGTTTGCACGTAAGCATGACTGAGCAAATGTTTAAGAAGGACCTTAAGGGCAGGGAAGTGAGCCCCAAAAATGTGCAGATCCCCAAATTGGCGGGGCAGATAAGTTCTGCAGGAAGGGGTGGCAGCGGCAAAGCCTTATTAGTGCTTGCAGAACGGGGGACGCTGGCCTTTAATACTGCTTCCTCAGAAAGCAGCTTTGTGCTGCTGGGGGCAGAGCGCTTCCTCAGCATTTATTCCCACCGAGCGCCCTGCAGTTCACTCCCAGCCCCGAATGCCCCCGCAGCGCTGCCGGAAGCCTTTCCTGGCGGCGCGGTGGGGATCAGCCACTAGATGGCACGGAGCGGCGGCGGCTGTTTACCCCGGAGCTGGAACGAGGAAGCCGGGGACCTGGCTCCATCCCTTCCTGCATCGGGAGCCAAAGTGCAGCCGGGCGGATCCAGGCAGGGTGGGGTTTTGCTGGGTGCCTGTTTGAAGCAGGCTGCTCCTCCGCCTTGTCTCGCGCACACGGGACTTGCCTGTGCGTGCGGCGTTGCCCCAAATAACTCTAGGGGGGAACGACTTGATCCTGGAGAGGTGAAACGAGGCATTCTGGTTTCGCCCACTCCCCTGGGACAATTGTGGACGCTTTGTCCACGTGTGATGGTTGTGAGGAGCCCGTGTGCAGCCCAGCCCTGCAGCAGAGCAGAGCCGAGCGCACGAGGCTCCGTCCCTCCTCCCGCTTACATCAGTTGTTATTCAGCTTTCACATGCAGTTCCTATTCCCACAGCCACAGGAGCTGAAGCCCTGATGGGCCGTGGCCTAGCAAAGCCCTGAGACTGCCTTAAACAAAACACAGAGGCAGCTGCTCCGTCGCTTGGCACCCGAAGGTTTATTTTAACGCGATCTTTAAGCTCTTGTTTTCCACAGCCGCGGTTCCTGCGCGCTGCTGGGCGCACCCCACACCCAGCTGGACGCTGCCCTGCTGCTCAATCCACAGCGCAGAGGAGTGCAGTCGTTAGGTGACTCTGGCTGGGGTTTCTGCAGGGGAAATCTGTGCCTTTGCCTCTGCTGGAACAGCCCTGCGTTGCCGGAGTTCGGTGCTCACAGCAGCTGTGTGTAACTCGCCACGTTTCCCTCTCCAGTCCCACTTTCGATTCTCTTCTTGTATGAGAGGCAAAGGGAAGGTGCTGTTTCCTCAGCATCTTCTTGCTTCGTTTTCTGTGAGAGCCAAAGGCAGTTGTGGACGGGCTGAAACATCAGTGGCTCGTGGCTGAACGCCCCCTGCCACCAGCAGGCTGTAGGGCTGCATGTTTTGGAGAGAAAAGAGGAATTTCACAGCTAATTATGGCTTACACTTCCAGAAAAAGATGGTTGTATCTGTCACACTCTCCAGAAGTGATGGAAATATTCAAGTGCCAAAAAAGCAACGTAAGAGCACGTGGCCCTTGTTCTCAGCCTAACGCGCTGCTCCCCAACAGGATGGCGACAAGTTCTGGAGGATGCCGGAGTGTTACATCCGTGGCAGCACAATCAAATACCTGCGGATCCCCGATGAAATCATCGACATGGTGAAAGAGGAGGTGGTCTCCAAGGGCAGAGGCCGTGGGGGGATGCAACAGCAGAAGCAACAGAAAGGCCGTGGCGTTGGAGGTGCTGGACGAGGTAACGACAATCCTTTCTGCTTTTCAGTTCAGAGAGGGGTGACTGGAATTCCTGCCTTTGAATTTCACTTGCTGGGCAAGGAAGGGCCGATGCTTCTCAGCTTTGAACCCGGAGCTGTTGATCTGTGAGAAGCTGGAGCTGCTGCTGGGCAAGATCTAATTGAGTGAGTGTGTTGTCTGGCTTGAAAGGCAGCCTCTGCCAAAGAGCAGCAAGGAGACGTGCCAGGGATGAGCCTCGTTCCTGGGCTGGGCAGGAGCTTAAGAGACTCTCCGTGTGTTTGTGCCCCTCCTGGCTGCTCGCAGAACGCAGCCCCACCAAACTCCTGGTGTCTGTTAGCTTTGCAAATCTCGGAGGGAAACAAGCAGCTGTTCTGTCTGAAATCAGACTTGAATTTGGCCACCCTCGTGGTAGGAAAAGGCCACCTTTACTGCCATTAGGATGGGACTCCTCATCCTGCGGTCTGCCGATTTCTTCTTTATTTTTAACCTAAGTTATCTGAAGGTTTGTTTTCTCCCTGCTCCAAATTAATATTTCTTGTTTCTGATAAAAGGTTGCCACTTACATAGAAATGGGTCGACCCAGCTCTCCCTTCCTCGTTCCATTTCTCGTGGCTGGGTTATCTTGGAGCACTTCAGCCTGGGGAAATATTTGCCCTTTCTGAGCACAGTGCTGCTGGATGCCTGAGAAGCATTTCTCCCTTGTGCTCACACCTCCTGCCACGTCTTTGCAATTCACTTTGTGGTCGCTGTGCTCAGCCCCAGGGATCTTCAGTGCGGGCTGAGCCTGCAGTGGGAGCTTAAATGCCAGACAAACTTCCTTGCTACAACAAAACTGAGTTCAACTCGGGGGATCTGGGTTTTAAAAGGATCCACGGAGTGCCCTTAACGAGCAGCAGGATGAGAGGAGCCCCAAGAGAAGGCAGGGGGGCCTGGTGTCACACTGAGACACACCAAGAGCCGCATCCACATCTCCCAGGGACTGCAGGAGGAAAATCCTTCTGCCATGGCTGCTCCCTGTGCTGCCTCTGAGCACACAGGAGTGACCTTTACCATTCTGAAGGCGCCTTTTATTTTTCCTTCTTCCCTTTTTGGAGTCCAAAGCATTTGGCACAGCGGCTTTTTGGATACGGTTATTTGGACAAATGTTTTAGCTGAAGTATTTTCTGTGCTGTGGAAATATCCACCTTGTGGAGAGAGCTCTGTTTGAGGTGGAGTTCCCTGCTGTTTTGATGTGCAGCTTAAATTCGCTGATGGAATATTTTAAAGGGAAGCTTTGGCATTTGCTAATTAGCTAAGAGGTTTGGCTCTCATTACCGAGACATTAAGGGGGAAGAAAAAAAGGGCAGGACAATTTTGTTGAGAGGCCAGCAGGCAGAAGTAAAGCTATAATTGTGCAGGCAGTTGAAAGGATTATTGTTCCTGACACTGGTAATCCTTCGTCTTCTTGGCTTGCCCAGTGCAGAAGCAGTGCAGTCTCTGCTCAGCCTCTCAGGCTGCTCGCAGGGCTCCAGCTGCTTCCCAAGGGCTGCAGGGTTAGGAGCAGCCTCCTTCCTCTCTGGTTTGGATGCATCTCAGCTGAACGAGCAGAGCTGCAGAGCGAGCTGCTCCGATTGCCTGCAGCGGATCGGAGTGGGAGGCAGGGCTGCAGGCGTCAGCAGCTCTCAGGGCAGAGAGGAGCACAGCGCCGGGGTGCCTGGGACTCACAGCCCCCAGGTCCTGCTGCCTTTGTGCTCCCTCTGCGTGCTGCTGGATCACCCCGTCCACAAGCGAGGCGGTGACAGACGTGGATGTGTTTTCTCTGTTTTGTTGCCTTGAAACCGAGTCGCCCTCTTTGCTGCTTTTGGATTGGTTGTACAGCTTTCAGGGGCACAGCATGATGCTGATCCCACTGCTGACAGGCGCTCGGTTTAAAACTGGGTCTCTCTGCTTTGGTTTCGTTTTCCAAAAGAGGTAAACTTGAATTTATGTTGATTCGCAGCCTGCCAGAGGGCACATTAAAGCACCAGAGAGGTACTGCTGAACTTGCAGGTGATGGGAGGTAAGCTTGTGCCCCTGGTGAACACAGACAGGCTCTGGAGTTGGTGAGGGAGAAGTGTAGAAGTCGCCTCTCTGCCTCCAAGAGAGGCCACAGAACAATCCCACCTCTGGGCAAACTAACAAACAGCGAAGCTGTGGGGGATGTTACAGGCTCACTCTGATGCCGTTCTCTCTCTGCTCTTTCTCCTCACCCTGCAGGTGTGTTTGGGGGCCGTGGCCGAGGAATACCAGGCAGCGGAAGAGGCCAGCAGGAAAAAAAGCCAGGCAGGCAATCGGCGAAGCAGTGAGGGGCTGCGTGAGCCCCGGCCAGGGACAGTGCGCAGCGCTCCTCGGTGCCACCTCAGGGTTGCCATGGGTTCAAATCCTTCAACCTCTGCTCCTCCGTCAGTCGATCCGTGCCCGAATCGCGTTGTTTGGAAGCCCCTCGCTGTTCAATCTGATCAAGCGCAGCTCTGGGCTTCTTTTAGCCAGCCAGCCTGTAATTGGAAATGTTTAAAAAAGAACAGCTCGCGGTTAAGGACCTGACTTCAGCACTATTGAATCTGTTGGGATCTCTATTTTAATTTACAAGCATCTGCTGGGCGCTGTGAGATGTGAGGCAAACGCTTTCGGGCTCGGTCGTGTGGCTGGTTTGGTTTTCATTTCGTTTTGTTTTCTAACACTTGGCACATTGGCAATGTCTCGCCTGCTCACAGGCGCAGCGTTTTGGTTTAAAAACACTGAACTTGAGGAGATGGTGCCTTTAGTGAGCGGCCGCAGGGGTTTGTTTGTTTGAACACAGCAAACTTTCAGGCTGCCTCCTTCCCCTCCTTTTGGGCAGTCTGTCTGTCTCTGGCCTTGGCTTAAAGGAGAACCGGCACGGATTTCTCTTTGGGCTCCAAGGGTTGTTTCCAAGAGAGCTTTGTGACGAGCGAGGGTTTCCCAATTAGTGTATAGCTAATTTGACTTCAGATTAGAAGTTCCCTTGAAAGGAAATGCTTCTCTGTGTTTTCTTCTGAAAGGCTGCAGCGCCCCTCGCTCCTCTCTGTTTGTTTTCAGGTTGTGTTTTCTTTTTTTTCTTCCTGAAAGCAATCGAGCCGTTCAAACGAAATGTTGTTTCTTTTTCCCCGTGTCGAAGCTCCCTCCCTTGTGCCCATGACACAGAGTCTGATTCCCGAGTTACAGCAGCACTTCCCAAGCACGTTCCCTGTGATACGCAGGGATTGACTTCGCTGCCATTGTCATTTTGTCTTCTGGTAGCTGCTCAGACCTTTTCCCCTAGGAGGGGGGGGGGACTGTTCCTCTCCTGTGGGTGAAGGAAGGTCCTTTGGCCTTGAGCTCAGGCTGCTCTGAGTCTTCCATCCCACGGGGTGCAGAGTTCTGTCAGCAAACACCCCCCAAAAATCATGGCTGATCCCAAATGAAAGTCTGTATGGGGGCACGGGGGGGGGGGGAGGGGATGGGGGGGGGGAGAAAGGGGCTCTGGGCCTTGCCTGAACTCTTGAGAATGACTGAAACAGTTTAATTTGGGGTAAAAGCAGATACTGTAACTCATTCTTAAAAGGTCTGTTGGTTTTGTGGTGTTGGGTTGTTTGCTTCCCCTTCCCCCCCCACCGATTTCCATCTTGAAACCTCCCTGCCATCACCACTGGTGGGAAGAGAAAACGAGTCCAGCACAGGCTTTGATCTACACTTATTTTTTTAACGTTTATAAGACTCGTGCAGGGCGGCGGGCAGCAATAAATCGCCAACCTGTTGCCGACGCTTTCCTTCCTGTGCCGGCTGCTCAGTGCAGAGCCCCGCTGTGCTCAGTGCTCTGTGCTCAGCACCAAGGGATCGGGCCGCAGTGCTGCTGTTCCCCCAGCTGGGTCCCTTTCTGGGAGCTCTGCCTTCTGCCCAGCGCTGGGACTGGGGCGCGTGTGTCCTCCCTGCTGGAAACTCGTTCCAGTAAACACCGATGTGGCATTTCAGTGCAGCACGGCCCCAGCCCTGTGTCAGACTTTCCCTTCCCTCCCTTCCAGTCCCTGCCTCCAGCCACACCAGCTCCACGCTGCAGCTGCCCGCGTGAAGGAGGAAACGCAGTGGGCCGCCTGGAGTGACGGGCAGTGCTGAGGTGATAAAGCACCCCGAACAATGGGAATTTGGCTCTGGCTTGTGGCAGAGTTGTCCACAGCCTCCTGCCGCTCTGCAAAGCTCTGCTGCTGTTCTGCTTTCACTTCAGCGCTCCCTTAGCAGCCCTCCCTCAGCTCTTCCCCCTGTGTTTCGCCACCTCTGCAGGCACGCTGGTCCCTGTGCGCAGGCAGCATCCTGTGCCGTCCTCGCAGCTCTGCGGCCTCCTGTGCTCCCCAAACCCCTTCCTGCCCCACAACTGCCGAGAGGACGAAGCCCCAGCGCTCTGCGGTGACGCGGGAGGAGGAAAAACAGCTCCAGGCTCAACGTGGGGCTGCACTGTGGCCACCGCAGTGACCCCATGGCCCCGTCCTGGTCCCCGGCTGACAGCCGTGCTGTTTGGTGGGGCCGTGTCCCGCAGTGACTCACAGCGCTGCGCTGGCTGGGGAGGCAGCAGCACAGGAATAGTTACACCGCAGCCGCCTGCGACGCGGAGGGAGTGGCTGCTGAAATATTTCAGGGCTGTGCTAAGCAACTAAAAATACACGTCAAACCCTCCTCCTCCTCCTCGTTTTTCCTTTTTTATTATTATTATTTTTTTTCTCTTCTTGTTTTGGATCATTTCGGGCCCCGGGGGCAGCGCGGCCCCTCTGTGCTCCCCGTGGGGGTTCAGGGCAGTGGTTCTGTTTTCCCGGCCCGGTTCTTCCCTCCCAGCCCACAGCGGTGACTCAGGGCGGCCCTGGGGCAGGTGGGAGCCTTCGGGTCGGCACCGGGGCTCTCGTGTGCTGGCACCGCGTGGGGCTGCACTTCAAGCAAGGCCCGGATGTAAGAGATTTAGGGAACGTTCTGGGGAAATGGGGTCAGTGTGCTGAGGTGCGAGGCTGGCGTTTGCGGTGGTGCTCAGGACCTCGCCGGGGTGTGCAAAGCTTAACAGAGCCCAGGGACATCAGGGGGAAAGGAGGCACACAGCACGAGGGGACACCGCTGTGTTGGCTGGGGACACCGCAGGGCTGCAGCCTTTGTGAAGCGCTGGCTGGGACGAGGAAGCTGCGAGCGGGGAGCGCATGGAATCAGGGACGTGAGGCAGCAGGACGTGGCTGGGCCTCACGAGGCTCCTGGCTCCGCCGCGGCCTGCTGAGCAGCGCCCGGGATGGGGACACGTGGGGCGGTCGAGGCTGCGGCTCACGGCCCCCACGGCGCACCGCCCGGCCCCATCCGCGGCCCCCTGAGGCCGGAAGGCCCGAACCGGCCGTGCGGGCCGCGCCCGTAATGATGGGGTTGGGCGGGAAGGCCCAGCCCGGCCCCGGGGCCTCGCTCCCCGTCCGCCCCGGGCCGCAGCACCGCGATGGGCGATGGGGGAGGCGCGGGGGGGGGGGGCGGTCGTTTGGTTCCCCCGCGCCCACCCGTGGGGGGGGGGGGGGGGGGCCCCCTCCGCCGCACGCGGGCTGTGACGTCAGCGCTGACGCCGCACCGCCCCCTCAGCCGCCCGCGGGCTCAGCCGTGACGCGCGGGGCCGCCGCTGCCGCCGCACCCCCGCCGTGCCGCCTCGGAGCGGAGAGTACGGGGGGGGGGGGGGGGGGGAGACCGGGGCGCGACGCACGGCGGGGACTCTGCGGCGCGGCCCGACCCACCGCCCATACGGGAGGGAAGGCCGCGGCCCGCCGCCCCTCCTCCCTTTGTGCCCGTGAGTCCCGGCGGGGCCCACGTGCGGCCCCTCCCCCGCCATGACGTCAGCCCGGCGGCCCTCGCGCTGTTGTGCGCCGTTCCCCGGCGGTCGCCGTGGCGACGGCGGAGCCAGGAGGGGGCGTGGCCGCCCGCCACCGCGTTTCCCCCGCCCCGGGGGGCGGAGCCTCTCCCCTTATGCAAATCGCGGCGAGCTAGGACGTCATGTGCAGCCAATGGCAGCGCCGCGCGGTGAGGTCACCGCCGCCGCGCCGCCGTATTTAAACCGGCGCGGGGGCCGCGGCGGCGGCAGACGCGTGTGTGCGCGCGGAGGAGCGGGGCCGCGGCCGGTGGCACCGCCGCCTCCCCCGCCCTCCCCTCCCCCCCCGGCAGCGCCGCGCTCGGCCCCGCGCCCCCTCGTTCACGGCGCTCCCCCCCGCCCCGTTCCCCCGCAGCCGGGCGGGGGAGGAGGATGGAAACACCCTTCTACCATGATGATGTGTTGAGCGGCCTCGGCGGCGGCTTCGCTCCGACCTCCGGCAGCAGCGGGCTCCTCCTGCCCTTCCCCGGCGGCAGCATGATGAAGAAGGACGCGCTCGGCCTGGCGCTGCCCGAGCAGGTGGCGGCGGCGCTGAAGGCCCCGGGAGCGGCGGCGGCGGCGGCGGCGGGCGCGGCGGGCGGAGAGGCGGCGGCGGGGCTGCTGGGTTCCGCCGAGCTGGGGCTGCTGAAGCTGGCGTCGCCCGAGTTGGAGCGCCTCATCATCCAGTCCAACGGGCTGGTGACCACCACGCCGACCAGCGGGCAGTTCCTCTACCCCAAAGCGGCGGCCTCGGAGGAGCAGGAGTTCGCCGAGGGCTTCGTGAAGGCGCTGGAGGACTTGCACAAGCAGAACCAGTTGGGCGGCGGCGGCGGCCCCAACGGGGGAGCGGCGGCGGCGGCGGGAGGAGGCGGCGGAGGAGGCGGCGGCGGAGGAGAGCTGCCCGCGGCCGGCCTGGCCCCGGAGCCGCCCGTGTACGCCAACCTCAGTACGTACCCCGCCGTCAGCTACGCCGCCGAGCCCGGCCCGTTCGCGGCCCCGCCGCCCCGGCTGCCTCCTCCCCCCCCCGCCGCCGCTGAAGGACGAGCCGCAGATCGTGCCCGAGGTGCCGAGCTTCGGAGAGAGCCCTCCGCTGTCCCCCATCGATATGGACACGCAGGAGCGCATCAAAGCGGAGCGGAAACGGCTGAGGAACCGCATCGCCGCCTCCAAGTGCCGCAAGAGGAAACTGGAGCGCATCTCCCGCCTGGAGGAGAAGGTGAAGAGCCTCAAGAGCCAGAACACGGAACTGGCCTCCACCGCCAGCCTGCTCCGCGAGCAGGTGGCCCAGCTCAAGCAGAAGGTGCTCAGCCACGTCAACAGCGGCTGCCAGCTCCTCCCGCAGCACCAGCACCAGGTGCCGGCGTACTGAGGGCCGACGGAACCCCCCGTGCCCGCGCGGCGGCCGAAGGACAGAAGGACCCAACCGCCTCCACCCCCCCCCC